TATATATATAATTAATGGTTACTTTTGTTGATTTAGTAAATATAGATATCTTATAATTAAAATATAATAAAAAACAACAAAAATAAAATATATAAAAAAATAACTGCCCATTCAAATTGGGTGGAGTAAAGTTTGAGTTTTTTAAATTATTTTAAAATAAAAATCAAAAAGAAGAATTAACCTATAAAAAACAAGGAAAAAAGAGAAGAAAAATTGCCCATTCAAATCGAGAAGTAGTTTCAAGTTGGAGTTTTAAAATAATTTTAAAAATAAAAAACAAAATTAAAAAAATAATGAATTTCCAGTTCAAATTGGGGAATAGTTTCAAATTGGAGTTTTAAAATTATTTTAAATTTAAAAAAACGAAAAATCTATTTATATTATACATATAAAAAATGAAAATAATAAAAATAAAATAAAAAAACTACCATATATATATATATATATATATATATATATATATATATATATATATATATATATATTATATATATTATATATATGTATTAGTTAGTTACTTTATTTGGATTAATAAATATAGATATCTTATAATTAAATATAATAAAAATGAAAAAATTAAATAATATAAAAAATAACTACCCATTTAAATTTCGTGGGATTAGTCTGGTTGTCACAGTTGAGTTTATAGAAATTATTTTAAAATAAAAAGCAAAAAAAAAATTACCTAAAAAAAACGGAAAAATGAGAGAAGAAAACTACCCATTCAAATTGGGAAGCAAGTTTCAGAGTTGGGCAGTTTTAAAAAAAAAAAATAAAATAAACCACAAAATAATGAGAATTACACTTCAAATTTGGGCAGTGTTTCAAATTGGAGTTTTAAAAATTATTTTGAAATAAACACAAACAATGAAGAAATCCTATTTAATTATAATATACACATATTAACAAACACTACACTCACAAACTAAATAAAAGCCTACATATATCGTAATTGATTACATTTATCACGATTATATATAGTTACTTATACTTATATACTCTATACGCTATATATATATATATATCGTATAATAAATATGATGAAAAAGCACAAGGAAAAATAAAATATAAAAAAATAACTGTCCCAGTCAAATTGGGTGGGAGTAGTTTTTCAAGGTTTGATTATTTTAAATTATTTTAAAATAAAAAACCAAAAAAAAAAGGTTACCAATAAAAAAACGAAAAAAGATGAAGAAAAACTACCGCATTTCAAATCGGGAAGGTTTCAAGTTGGTCATTTGTAAATAATTTTAAATCAAATAAACAACAATTAAATAAAATAATGAATTACTAATTCAAATTTGCGGGAGTCGTTCAAATGGAGTTTAAAATCATTTTTAAAAAAAGAACCAAAAAATCTATTTATATATAAATAAATATATAATATAAATATTATAATACTAAATATGATAATAAGGGAGGAGTCACAATGAGATCTCATCAGTATCCTTATATATATAATAATGAGGATGAGCATAGAGAACCTGTGAATTCTATAATGACATAGCGTGTCAAATTTCTATTAACAATATAATTCATACTAAATATTAGAAATATAATAAATAAAATTATCATGAACGACAAAATTATATTGACTACATGATAATGTGCCCTTAAATTAATAGAGATTTTCACCTTATACATTAGAAAATTTCAACAATATCCTATTCATTATTTATATAAATTTAAGGATTAATGCATAGATAATTGTCGACATACGTTCAAAGGTAACGTGGCAAAAAAATTACATCAAAAGTGACAAATATTTTTTAATACTCGGATCCGGCGCATTGCGCGATACCCGTCGCGGTTACGACTCACTAGTTGACCTATTAAACTAGTAAGCATTACTTTGATGACCTTTTTTCTTAAGTATTTGCAATGACTACTATTAATCATGTTAATTTTTGTTTTAAAATTAAGTTCATCTTGTTATTTCAATAGAATTGTTATTTTATGGTGAATGCTCTATAATTTAGAGAGATTCTAGGTTCATTGCTTGGTGGCTAAGTCAACTTCCATATAAATAGAAGATCTCTCTCTCGATATATATATATATATATGTTAGCTTTTTATTTTATTTTATCATTTTCGTTTTTTATATGTATATTATATATAAATAGATTTTTCATTTTTTTTATTTTAAAATAATTTTAAAACTCCAATTTGAAACTACTCCCCAATTTGAATTGGTAATATTTTTCATTTTTTTATTTTAAAATAATTTTAAAACCCCAATTTGAATTGGTAATTCATTATTTTTTTTAATTTCGTTTTTTATTTAAAAATAATTTAAAAACTCAAACTTGAAACTACTCCCACCCAATTGGAATGGGTAGTTATTTTTTATATATTTTTTTTTCGTTTTTTATTATATTTAATTATAAGATATCTATATTTATTAATCCAAATAAAGTAACCAATTAATATATATGGTAGTTTTTTTATTGTATTTTATTATTTTCTTTTTTGATATGTATTTAAATTCAATAATAAGTAACCAATAACTAATTATAAACTAAATAACTAATTAGTAACCAATTATTCCATGTGGCATTTTTTTAGGCTGCCACTTGGCTTAAGTTTTCCTCTCCTTTTAATAATATATAGATATAGATTTGCAGAGTTCCATACGCATAAAGTGGAGCTGTTAATATGGCAAGGACTCGGGATTTCTGAAACTGCCAAAAGGGTCCTCTAGACGAATAAACACAGTTTATTGTACCAAGTCTAGTCTCCTCCTCTTCGGACGTTACGAGGTGTTACACCTAAGTAACTGTCTCTTTCCTTTTATATATAGTGCTTTTTAAAAGGCAACCTTAAAATTGCTTTAAATACCGAAGTTTATGTTGGAGGCAAGAAAAAGCCATAAAACCTAGAGATACATTGTAAACAGATTCCAGTAATCATCATTATGATGAAACAGAACAGCATACATCTGTCTGTGAAAACCAACCAAAAATTGTGCTTTTAATAAATAATCTCGCAACAGGAAAAAGGACAAAATCTTTAAACTAACTACTACAATACAAAAGTTCCCTTAGCTACTGAAAAAAAGGGGATTTTTTGTGGCATCAGTGTTTGGCATGTGAGTTTTCTGATTGTAAATCTTGGAAGAAGATGATGATGAACAGCAGGGATGAATCTGATAATGCAAGCACAGCAACATCATCGTCTCTTACATCTCCAAAACTGCCAGTTTACTATGTACAGAGCCCATCACGTGATTCCCACGATGATGCTGATAAGTCATCGTCCTCCATGCAAAATACTCCTGCGTATCACAGCCCCATTGATTCCCCTTCTTATTCATCTAGGGACTCTTCCTCTAGCCGCCTTTCGGGGAATTGGCGATGGGCCAGGGGTTACAATCGTAGAAGAAGTGGGAAAGGGTGGCAAGAATGTGCTGTGATTGAAGAGGATCTTGATTATGATCATATGAATCAACCCTATTCAAGACGCTGCCTATTTTTGATTGCTCTCATGGCTTTTGGAGCTTTTTTTGCTTTCTTTTGCTTCATTTTGTGGGGAGCTAGTAGACCTTACCAACCTCACATCACTATGAAGGTATTCTTCTAAAAAATCATGCTACATTTTTCATTAATTGAATTAAGAGTCTGTTTATTGTCTAGAACTTGTTATATATATATATATATATATATATATATATATATATATATATATATATATATATATATATAGAGTTGTGAATTATAAGTTGCTCCTGCACAATCCTATTAGTTCTCAATATTCCCTTTGATGGTCACAAAAGCTGTGGAACTTGATTTTTAAGAACCTTGTGCACGATATAAGCTGATTTCCTCAAACTGGCAGCATAATGTCCTAGTCAAGTGCGGATTTAGGGGGCGGAAGGGGATTCACCCAAACCCCTTGCGCCGAAAAATTACACTATATATAAGGCAAAATTTATTTTTTACTTCTATATATTATGTTTTAAATCCCCTTGAAATATCCCAAAAGCATTGCTTAGTGGCCAAGGGGGTTCAAAATTTTTGTAATATCATTGGTTCAATTTCCACCAGCTACAATTTTTTTCAACTTTTCTTTTTAAACCCCCTTAGCATAAATCCCGCCTGTGCCACTGGTCCTAGTTTAGCATGTTTAATCCTTCAAGGACAACAGTCATGCTTAGATCTTTCCTTGATATTTTAAGGACTGAGTTTCTCTCAGAAATTCTTGATCATTTTATTTCGAGGTTGCACTATGTTGATACTACATGGATGAAATCTGGTGATTGCTCATAAAAGCTACAATCCGCTGCATTTTAGTATAATATTTGAATAACTTTTATTCATGTAAAGTGGATTTTCTGCTAGGCCTTCAGGGTACATAACTTCTATTTTGGACAAGGGTCAGACCGCACAGGTGTTCCGACCAAGTTGCTTACAGTTAACTGTTCTGTGACCATGGTCATACATAACCCTGCTACATTTTTTGGAATTCATGTCAGCTCCAACCCTGTCAATCTTTTCTTTTCAGAAATCACAGTTGCAACTGGCCAGGTGAGTGATATCTTTGATGAAGTCAATAGAATTTTAATACTGACAGATAAACCTGCATTATCCATGAAGAAGGGCAGCCCGGTGCATTAAATTCCCGCTATGCGTGCGGTCCGGGGAGTGCCGGACCACAATGGTCTATTATACGCAGTCTTACCCTGCATATTTCTGCAAGAGGCTGTTTCCACGGCTCGAACCCGTGAGCACCTGGTCACATTGCAGCAACTTTACCAGTTACGCTTAGGCTCCCTTTCTCATTATCGATGAAGAAATATTATATTATTTAGAGGATCAAACCTCGACATAATGGATGACTGGGAAAAAAATATCAATCATATGTTACCCAATTTTTGGTTTTGTATAGTGCCAGTGTTCATGTTCTTTAAACAACATTTTGACAGAATTTTCCTTTACCTGATGTTTTCTCCTGATTTACAACTTATGGATGCAGTTGGACGAATATTATCAACCAAAAAAGAGCCAGCGCAGTATGTCTGTGAACCTGGATGGGTGTAGAGTCCCCCTATATGGAGCTGGGATAGCCTTAGTAAAATCAGATGGCAGTGACGGGGTTCCATTGAAATTAGACTTTGAAATCCTGTCAAAAGGTTATTTAGTTGGCAAGCTGGTGAAGACAAAGCATCGGAAACACATCTCTTGTTCCTTGCTCATCAGCTCAAAAAGCACAAAGGAAATAAAATTCAAGCAGGATTCCTGTGCATTCGATTGAGATTGCAACATCCAGTCCATTCTCCAAGATATAGTTACCAAGTTGCTAGATACTGCGTAATAGGACAATGTTGGTTCTTTTCTTCTGATATATCCTTGTCAATTGTTTCAGAATAATTTTTTACAGCTTGAAGCAAGAGGATATGGGTAAATTGGTACAGAGTCCTTCCTAAGGTGCAGGAACTCTGAAAAGTTAGTGAGCATGGTGACAAGCTACTCCACAGCAGTTGTTTTGCAATTGTGAACCTGGGTTGCCAAATCTGTGGCCAATAAAGCAACATGAATCTTGGATCAGGATTTGGAGGTTCTGGGCGCCACACTGCTTTGAACAGGGGCATGGCGTATGTAGGATTTTGCGCTGAGTGTTGTTAATATCACATAAGAGATCAATAAATGATATATTTATCATCAATTATTTAGACAAGGAGAGCCATTGTTTGATTGTTTAGTGGAGTGTTAAGATAGAAGAGTTCTAGAGTTTAATTCTACTTATCCACAAATTTTTAACAACAGAGGCTCCCTTAATTATAGGCGAAATACATAAACGGCCCCTTCAAGTTGTCCTTAACGACCAACTGAACACCCCAACTGATCCATTTACCATTTAGACACTTCAAGTGTTTATTAAGTGTATCAAGTAAACACCCGAGTGCTGAAGACTCCATGCGTGAGCTACACTTGCCAATGACATGTCAAATGAGCCAATTAAAAAACGACACGTGTCAATTGGAATAAAAAATTGACACATAGCTTAAAAGAAAAAATACATTAAAGATGAAATAGAAACCTTCTTCCTTTACTTTTGTAAAGACCAGCACTACCCCTCCCCCCTCTCCCTTCCCCCTCCCTTTCATCTTATTCTGCATCAGTCATGTCCTCCATTGTCAAAGCTCATTATGCGACCTCCATTGTCAAAATGGAGAAATCTATGCAATGTAGAACATTTTTTTTTGTTTTCTTTCTACTGCAATGAGAACAGACAAGGGGGCGACATCTCTGCCTTTTTTGCTAAACTCAATCAAGATCAGATGTAAAAAATATGATTTCCTTACCTCTATGGTGGTTTCATGGTGGGTTGAGGTGGTTTTGTTAAGAAGAAAAGAAAAAGAGAGGCTAAGTTTGTATTAACTTTCCCTACCCAAAGAGATCTGCCAACCCCAATTATTTGGTTACCGTCGCCGTCCAAATCCCCTCCACTTTTTTTTTTCTTGCTCAAAACCAAATAAAAAATCGTCCTAACCCACTTAATTGAATATTTTCACCAGCGTAGAACCAATTACAAAATTTTAAGAAAGGTAACGAAGGACAGATGTAGATAAATTCTTTATTCGAATATTTGAAGCAGCTAAGTTGAGAATTTGTGATTTCTGTTTGCGTGTTTTGAGTCGTAGCCTAAATCACCCAAGCTGTTCCAACTAGAAATTCATGGCTGCTTGGATCGAATTGTTCATTGTTGTAACTGATTAAAATTTAAAAATGTGAATTTCGTTTGAATTAGATGTGGTGAAGAAGAGGTTTGGTGAAGATGGAATATTTTGGGAAGAAAGTGAAATTAATGTGTGGAAAATAAAATATAATGGGGCCCACATAAAATAAAGTTAAATTTAAAAGAAAGAGAAAAAAACCTTAATTTTGAGGGTTTCACGCGCTTAGAATTGTGTATAAAGCTAATGCTGTATTCTGGGTCGGGCCCGGGCCTAAATGAGCCAAACGGGCCCGAGCCAAACGGGCCCGGGCTCAGACGGATTGGTCTTTGGCGGTCCCGGGCCTAACGGTCTCGGGCTTCACGGCCTCAACGGGTGGAACCGGCCCACAACGGGCCTAAGCCCACATGGTACCAGGCTAAATGGGCCAAGCCCACGGGCCCACACGGGCCTAACGGACTTTTTCTTTCTGGGCTATTTTTTTTAAATTTTTTTTATTTAAGGCAATTTCTTGTAAACCATATATGTATATACTAATATAAATTGCTTATACATGGTTATATAAATATATATATAGTATATATAATATGTATAGTATGTATGCATAATTATATATTAAAGTTTGCATTTAAAAAGTAAAATAACAAAACAATAGTAAAACTAAATTATCATGCATAATAAATTAATAACAAAGTAAAACATTAAGCATAAATACCTCTAATAATTTTAAAATAACACAAATTGTCGAAAAATCTTAAATACGAATTTCCGGATGACGCTCAAGACAATACTTTATATGGCTCCTTAAACTGCCCTGTGCCAGACCGTGAACGAAAATTTAAGACTCCACCACAGTTCTTGCACTTTAATATTTGACCTTCTTCATTTTCTTCTAGCACCTCAAAGTGTTGCCAAACAAATGAGCGCACTCTTTCCGAACGAGGCATGATTTAACTTGAGATTTGAGATTGAGACTTGAAGTCTTGAAAATTGGAGATTGAGAGAATGAGAGAAATTTAGATTGAGAAATGAGTATTGAGTGAAGAAATGAAGAAGATGGGGGGGGGAGTATTTATAGTTTTAGAGAAGGTTAGTTTTGTAAATTGAAAAAAGAAAAAAAAAAAAAAAATAGGCTATTTGTGCAATATGACCGTTGGCAACGGTCATTGGGGCCCTCCTTTTGAAAAATTTAAATATATCATTACTAAATGCAGGATTTAGTGTTGTTGTAAGTATGCCTATAGCATTAGTGTTACTAGAAGCATTATCCATAGAAATTGCCATTATTTTATCTCTAATGCAAAAATATCTACAAATATCTGCAACAGTGTTAGCAATAAACTTACCTGTGTGACGTGAATTAATTATTCTATAAGCAATAATGCGTTTTTGCATTATCCACTCCTCATCTATCCAATGACTTGTAACAGTTAGATAATCACAGTCATTATTACTTCTACCAATAT